GCCTCTTTCCCTGGCTAATTCACACTGACTCACACTGACTCACACTGACTCACACTGACTCACACTGACTCACACTGACTCACACTGACTCACACTGACTCACACTGACAACCCAGAATCACCCTGAATCACCCTGAATCACCCAGACTCACAATGACAAACACGGACTCACACGGACTCACAGGGACTTACACTGACTCACACTGACTCACACTAACTCACACTGACTCACCTTGACTCACCCAGAATCACCCGGACTCAGACAAACTCACCAAGACTCACACAGACTCAAACATACTCTGACAGACTGACACAGACTCACATTGACCCACATGGACTCACGCAGACTCACCCTTACTTACACAGACTGACCCGGACTCACACAGAGCCAGACGTAATCACACAGACGCAACCAGACTGATCACAGAGTCGCACAGACTGCAGGGACTCGTACGGAATCACACGGACTCACCCAGATTCACACTGACCCACATGGACTGACACAGACTCACCCAGAGTCACACAGACTCACCCAGGCTCACCCAGACACACACACACATACACGGACTCACACAGACTGACACAAACTGAAGCAGAGTCATCACAGACTCGAACGAACTGACACGGACTCACACAGAGTGACACTGACTCAAACACAATCAAGTCCTTTAGATGGGTACTGGACGCTGTTTACGAAATGATGGCGAGAGCGTCCATGTTCAAATGGACCGTACTTGCCAACCAGACATTTATTTTCACTTGCATCTACGTGTTTGTGCACATGTGCTCGTGACTGTTGATGTGTCAGGATCATTTTCACTCACTGTATGTGGAAACGTTAACGTGCATGAAAACTCACCGATTTTTCTGTCGACAAACAAGTGTGACCATCCATACATCACCGATGTCGACACGGCCAATGAGACGTGCACAATGGGACAAACATACGAAACGAAAACACAATGTCATTACCACACACCATTGGCTACTCCCTCCTCCCCCCCCACAAACCCAAACACACACACACACACACACACACACACCTGTCTCTTATACACATCTAGATAGAGAGAGAGAGAGAGAGAGAGAGAGAGAGAGAGAGAGAGAGAGAGAGAGAGAGAGCCCTATAATTTTCTCCGTTTTGATTGTTCCTCTGATGTTTGGCCTATGTCCATAACATAATCGATACTGTTGTCTTTCGTGCCAATGAGACAGAGTGTTGGTTGTGCATGTATAATTGTTGCCGCTGTTGACATTGAGGTGTGCACGGTCCCGCCGCATGCAGTGACAACTGCTCCATGTATGACGCAACTGAGGTTCACACCCCATGACATCGATGTCGTCAGAATGGCCTCCTTGTGTATGAGAAGTTGAGAACAAACCATGATTTTGTTGTCTTAGCCCAATGTTTGTCATTTTCCATGCACGACATAATTGTCTTAATTGGTGCGAAGTGTAGACGCTCGTCCGGTGTTGCCACCTTGTCCACAACACGTATCAACGGGTGCGGTTTCGAGAAAACATGCGCCAACCTCAAAATTGCATGACACCACCCTTTCGACCCTTGACCACCACCTCGCTTTACGTCCCAATAAGGATCGTATGCCTCACCCACCTCGTCGCTCCTGGTATCACTGCCACTCACTCCCAACTCCGATGATGCCGGGTTCTCTTGTTGCGGTCCTGTTTGTGCATCGCCCTTCTCGTCACAAGGAACCACCACATCATCTCCCTGTTGCGATGCTTGTTCGACTCCTTCATTGAAGTCACGTGAAGGATGTCTGGGTGCCAAACTCCACTCTCTGAATCCGCCATGGACACTCGTTCCATTTGCAGCATGATTCTTCAACACCGTCCTGACATCCGCCAGAGATACTGTGCCACCTCTGTCCTGCACTGTCGTGTCTGTTGTGTGTGTCGCTAAGGTGTCGTGTTCTGCAACAAGCATTTGCCATCCGCACTTTCTCTTCCTCCTCCTGTCCACATTCGTCGATGTCGCGGTCAGCTCCTCTACAGCTGTGAATATGTTCCACCGTAACACAGGAGTCCCCGATACAAGGTCGAGTGTGCGATCCTTTACGCAGTCAATATTGATAACCTCCGCTGCTGCTATTGCCTCCTCCGTCACCTCATGCAATGCCTCGTGAATGAGATTTTTGTCCTTGCCTCCACTCTTCATAAAGTCAACAATCTGGTCTAGTAGCACATACTCGACACCGTCCACCACCATTGTTGTCAGTTCATGGTAGTCAATAGGATCTCTTTGAGGGACCTCGTTCATCCTGCTCAGTGCCAATATCTCCGCTGCATTCGGCTTCAATTCCTCACCACCCCCTGTCTTCAACATTTCACTTTCTCTCGCCTGAGATCTCACAAACTTCTTGAACGCTGATGTGTTGTACGAACCGCCTCCATTTCTTTTGATCATGTCAATGTCATGGTCGTTCCACATCCAATCCACGACTTGGTGAAGGGTGTTCGCAGAGCAAGATGCCATGGTGTGGTCGTCATGCATGTATGCATTTTGATATAAGCGCAGCAACAACTGCTGTGCTCTCCTTGACCTGTCTCCATTCGCTGCCACTGACCGCTGAACGTCAACCCTTGTGTCGGAGTACGCTGGCGCTCTTTGTCGTAACAAAAAGAGTTCCTCATCATTGTCGTAGTGGATTCCCTCTGTTGCGTACTTCATAACCTCTCTCTCTCCTCTCTCGACTTGTTCCGCCATCATCAGTGTTATTTTTCTGTGTCCAGCTGTCAGTGGCACCACAACAGTCGCGTTCAGTCGAAAGATGGTGGTGCTGCTGATGTCAGTCGAAGCTCACACAGGTTCACAAAGACTCACCCAGACTCAACCAGACTCACACAGACTGAAACAGACTCCAACAAACTCACACAGACTGAAACAGAGTGACACAGACTCACCCAGACTGCTACAGACTAGCACCGACTCACAAGGACTCACCCAGACTCAGCCAGACTCACACTGACTCACACTGACTCACACTGACTCACACTGACTCACACTGACTCACACTGACTCACACTGACTCACACTGACTCACACAAACAGACAGAGACTCTCCCAGACTCACACAGACACACAAATTCACACACACTCACACTGCATCACCCAGAATCACCCAGACTCACACAGGTTCACAGTGACTCACCCAGAATCACCCACACTCAGACAGACTCACCCTGACTCACACAGACTCAAACAGACTCTGACAGACTCACACTGACTCACACTTACCCACATGGACTCACGAATCTCACCTTCACAGAAGCAATGCAACACACTTGATATGGCCGTCCTGACTCACAGAGGTTCACACTGACTCACACAAACTCAAACAGACTGACAGGTTCACACTGACTCACACAGGTTCACACAGACTCACACTGACTCACACTGACTCACACTGACTCACACAGGTTCACACAGACTCACACTGACTCACACAGGTTCACACTGACTCACACAGGTTCACATAGACTCACACTGACTCATACAGACTCACACCGACTCACATAGACTCAAACAGACTGACAGAGACTCACCCAGACTCACACTAACACACAGATTCACACAGACTCACACTGAATCACCCAGAATCACCCAGAATCTATGTGTCCCCGGCGGCCGCGGTCACTGCGGGCATGACCGCGGCCCATGCGGTCGACCACGGGCCCGCGGTCATGACCGCGGCGGCCGCGGTCGAAAAACGCGCGCCGCGGGTAGGAGAGGGGGGCTACCCGAGGTCGGGGTCGGGATTCCGAGGGCGCACCCCAGGCCCTACCCCCCTACATTGAAAAAAAAGAAAAAGACTTAAAAACGGGGGGGGTCCATTTTAGGAGGGGGGAAGAAAAATAATGGACCCCCTTTCATTGTTTTTTTTTTTACTTTTTTTTTTCCGTTGAATTGAACCATTG